CGCCACATGGCTTGCAGGATCTTAGTTCCCTGACCAGGGACTGAACCCGGGCCCCAGCAGTGAAAGCGCAGAGTCCTAACCACTGGACCACCAGGGAATCCCCATCTGGTTCTGTCCTACGACACTGTCCCCTGAATGTATTTCCCTTTGAATCTTTGGGGGCACCTCTTACTCCTGTCAGTGTTACTGGTTCTACTCCGAGCTTCTCAGGTCTGTTCTCACTGCCTGGCCTGCCTTGGTCCTGCCCTAGACCAGTGCTGCTGGTCCTTCCCTTCCTAACCCAGCCTTTGAGCTGTGAGATCCACACAAAATGTTCATCTGCCCGGCCGCTCCCTTGCCTGAGCCCCCTCCCTGTGCCCCACCAGAGGCCCGCACCATGACCTGCCACGGCCCCGGGAATGGAGTCACCTGCCTCCTTACCTGCACTTTCCTTCACACCTTGACTCCTGCCACACTCCTGCCACTCCCACCTGGTCGTCCTCCCTAACCTGTTCACCAGGACTCAGCTCCTGTGTTAGTTGTCCCAGAAATCCTCCCCTGAATCCTCTCTTGTCCCCACTGCCGCCTGTGGTTGGGCACGTGGCATGCTCTTCCCTGGAGGTGCCTGTAATGCGCTTGCTCAGGTGGAGGAGAAAGCCCCGGCTCGGCGGTGGAGGCCCTGGCCCCTGTGCACCCCAACGATGTGGGGAGTGGAGGTCCGAGTCCAGGCAGCATCCTCTTCCCATTGTACCCCTCTCGCTCTGTCTCCTGACTTTTGTCTGCCTTACAAGTACTGTTTTCACACCACCTTTTCATGTCGATGTAGAATTTCTCCATGTGTTTGTTTTTTAAATGACATCTGTTTTAGTTTTTTCAGTATTAGTAAGTTTTCTTAACCTAATGCTTGGTGATTAGTTCTTTAATTATTTATTTATTTATTTATTTATTTATTTGGCTGCATCAGGTCTTAGTAGCGGCATGTGGTATCTTTCATTGTGGTGCACGGGCTTCTCTCTGTTTGTGGCACGTGGGCTCAGTAGTTGTGGCACGGCATGTGAGATCTTAGTTCCCTGACCAGGGCTTGAACCTGTGTCCCCTGTGTAGGAAGGTGGATTCTTAACCACCGGACCACCAGGGAAGTCCCTCCATGTGGTTTTTATATATATATGTGTGTGTGTATATATATATATTTATTTATTTATTTTTTTGGTTGTTTATTTATTTATTTATTTATTTTTGGCTGTGTTGGGTCTTCATTTTTGTGCGAGGGCTTTTTCCAGTTGTGGCGAGCGGGGGCCACTCCTCATCGCGGTGCGCAGGCCTCTCACTGTCGCGGCCTCTCGTCGTGAAGCACAGGCTCCAGACGCGCAGGCTCAGTAGTTGTGGCTCACGGGCCCAGTTGCTCCGTGGCATGTGGGATCCTCCCAGACCAGGGCTCGAACCCGTGTCCCCTGCATCGGCAGGCAGATTCTCAACCACTGCGCCCCCAGGGAAGCCCTCCATGTGTTTTTTATTAAATGTATTTGTTTGAGTGGCGATACTACAAATGAATACATTTTACCTTTCCTTTTGGATTTGCAAGTCACTTATAGTGTTTTTAAATAACAGGGTGGATATCTTTATTCATATAGCACTCTTCTTCAGATAAATTCACACAATTGAGGTAAAATTATATTAACGTTACTGCTAATTGTCTCATTGTGAGCATCCCGTCACAGCACTGTCTGACAACCCTCCGGGAAGATGCATGTCCGGCCCTTTGTCCTGGGGGTCTGTCTGCCTCTCCCCGCATTTCCCATCTGGTTCTGTCCGTGACAAAGGCAGAAAGGAGTACCTGACAGACGAGTGCATGTTGCTCTGGGCAAGTCCTGTTTCATGCGAGGCCCCACGTGCAGGCTGATTTTATGACCCCACCGAGGTTCTCTCTGGCCAGTTAAATCCTTTTGCTTCTCACGAGTCTTTTTAAGGTATCTTTCCTGCTTAAAAGCCTTCTGCTTCAGGGGCTGCCCGTCCAGCCTGACATCTTGATGAGGAAGATACAACACAAACAGAATGGTGGCTCCAACCTCTTCTAGTGCCATATCTGTGTAGTGAGGTTGCTGCTCCTTCTAGGGACCCTGGGAAGTGGGCGCTCAGTTTCCACGCTTTGCAGCAGTCCCTCGGTCTGACCCACAAGTCTTTTGCTACTGGTGTGTGTGTGTGTGTGTGTGTGTGTGTGTGTGCATGTGCACATGGGCACACGCGTGTGTGCTCTCAGTGTCCACGTGGCCATGAACGTAAGCCTCTCGATGGCTGTGGTGCTTTGTGGCAAGTTGGCAGCATTTTGTTCTTTGTCAGGCCATCTCCACGGAGTCTGTGTGTCTGCTGGCTGTGCCCATCCTTAGCTCAGACTGTTGCTCACATCCCTAGTTGATTTGAAAATATCGACTCTGGTCCTGTTGAGTCCAGTGTGCTGTTATTAATATCTGTTGTCATCACGAACACCCTCCCTCCCTCCAGGCTGGCACGCAGAAACAAGTTTTAGCTGTTTGGCTCTTTCTCTGTCTTCCGCATTTCTCTTTTTTATTGTTACATAGTCTGTCCTTTCTGCAAGTCATCCCACGAGAGCAGGTCTTTCATCTGCTTTGGCTGGTCTTGAAACACTCACTTCCAATGTGAAGCCCTCAGCAACACAAGAAGGGGAAGTGGGTAGGAAGCTACCTGGAGATCAGGCGGTGGGGGGTCATTCCCGGAGCAGTGCTCTAGCACGTTCTGTGCTTTCACTGCCACCAGGCTATGGGGCAGAGTGGACCACCCAGGCTCCAGGTGTGGACGTGGTGCATCGTCTGCCCTGAGGTCCAGAGGCGTGTCGCAGGGTGGCCACACTGGGCTCTGTGGGACATCTAGAGTGGCTGTGTCTTTCCTGGGCATTTTTGTCACCTCCCCCTGCTGGACAGCCTCCTAAACTCCCCTCCCCCACTGGAGGTATCATTCCCCTTCAGCCCTTTTTCCAACTTGGATGAAGGGTGGATGCATCAGCCGCCCTCAGTTCCACAGTTAGCTCTGCAGTGTCAGCCCCGCTGGCGCCATTCTCCCTTCTCTGCAGTGTCTTTTTTTTTTAACTTTAAAAAAAAAATTTATTTATTTTTGGCCGCATTGGGTCTTCGTTGCTGCGCTTGGGCTTTCTCTAGTTGCAGTGAGCCAGGGCTACTCTTCATTGCAGTACACGGGCTTCTCATTGCAGTGGCTTCTCTTGTTGCAGAGCATGGGCTCTAGGCACGTGGGCTTCAGTAGTTACAGCACACAGGCTCAGTAGTTGTGGCTTACAGGCTCTAGAGTGCAGGCTCAGTAGTTGCGGCACATGGGCTTAGTTGCTCTGTGGCATGTGGGATCTTCCCAGACCAGGGCTCGAACCCTTGTCCCCTTCATTGGCAGGCAGATTCTTAACCACTGCGCCACCAGGGAAGCCCCTCTGCAGTGTCTTCTGCCTGAACCACGTGCCCTTGGTGTCCCGGTGTGGCCCCATGGGAAGTGCCTTCTTTCTGTTGAGCCGAGGGCTGCACCAAGGTCTCTCGCTGGTCCTGATCACCTTTCAGAGCTGGTGGCAGCCGGTTGACCATGTGAGGCCAGAGGCCTGCCCGCCTCTTGGTGCTGCACTGGTGGTCACACTGGGTTCCACGCTGTGCAGCTGTTTCACAGCCCCTCCCCCAGCCCCGGCAACCACGGAGCCACAGATCTTTGTCTCTCCTGGACGCTTCATATCAGTGGAGTCATACAATGCGGGGCCTTTAGTGTCCCGTTTCTTTCACTGAGCATGACGTTTTCCAGGTGCATCCAGGTTGTACGGTGTGTTAGGCTCTTTTAGGGTCCGTTCATTCCTTTCTATGGCTGAGTACTGTTCCATTGTCTGAAAGCCCACGTTTGTTTATTGACTGCATAGTGGATCGTAAGGTTCCCGAGTAGCGGTCCCTGTAAGAGTCCGCTGAGACTGTCGGTCTTTCTCTCAGGAGAACCTTCAGGAATGGTTGGCGTGTGATCTTAGCAGAGCCCCAGGCTCCTCAGAGGCTAGCCGAGGTTCAGAATCCTTGTTTTAGGTCATTCATTCAGAACTTACTTTCTATTTACTAATATACTTTTCCTTTCCTATTGTTGTAATCACACACAGCCAAATCTTTGAAAGGGGGTCTCTGGGGAGAGAACAGTTGTGAGAGGGACACATGGCAGTGGTCACTGCCCTGTGAGATGATCAGAAAGGGGCCAACTGGGCAGTAACCAGACTTACAAGGCGCTGTCAGGCTTGGCTTCACACAGTACACTCAAGGTAACAGTGGCTTGAGCACGTGAGGATTTCTTTCCTGGCGTCAGAGACGCCTGCAGGTAGGTGTCCAGGGCGGGCATCAGGGCCGAATCAGTCTGTTACAGAGCCTCTGGAGCCTCCCTCAGCACTTCTGCTCATACCTGGTGGTGTGGTCTCCTCCAGCCACGAGCAGGCTATACATAGGCTGGCTTAACCCTGGGTGTTGCCTCCCAAATCACACTGGTCTGCTGCTGACAAGCAAGGGGGTGTCCGGAGCACTCAAGCCACATTTCCTCTTCCTTCTGGCCCCAGGCCTGGGGCGAGTTGTCTGTCGTCCCAGGAGGCATGAGAGGTGGGCCTCCTTGGTTCCAGTGCTGCCAGCCCCTCGTTGAGCTTGGGTGGGTTCTGTGCACAGTGAAGGTGGTCCTGACCCTCTTCTGCCTCGCGGAAACTGGCCATGCTGGACGTCCCGTTTTCCTCTCTGGGGACATTGCTCTGCCTGTTAGGACTAGTTTTCTAAACCACCCCCTTTTTCTCTTTTAACTTTTTATTTTGAAAAATTGCAGAAACAGCACCGTGTTGCCGTGTACTCTGCCCAGTATCCCCTGACGTTAACGCCCCGTGGTCCATGGTGCAGTGGTCAAAGCCAAGAAGTGTCCCCCAGCACCCTGGTGTGCACAAGCTGGGCAAGCCCCGCACATCTGTGTTTCCTCCTTCTAAAGCCGCAACCTTTCCTCATTTTCAGTGTTCTCTCGCGGGCTGAAGAAGTCGTCCCAGGAGCTGTATGGGCTGATCTGCTATGGGGAGCTGCGCAAGAAGATCGGGGGCTGTGAGTACCCTTTGTTCAGGGGCGGCCTCCTCCCGGCAGGGCCTGCCTGTTATCCTCTTACAGTTGGAGTTTTAGTACTGGGGGCTCTTCTGTTTTCTCTCCGACTTACATTTTGAAAACATTTTAACGCACAGAACGTTTTAATATACCGAAAAATTGAAGGAGAGCATAACAACCCCCACATACCATCATTTAGATTCATGGGTCCTGAACCTTGGCCTTGTTTGTGTTACTGTCTCTCCCATTCCTGTCCCTCCTCCACACACTTGCATTTTTTCTTGCTCAGCTGTGTGACTGTAAGTTGCAGACGTCTGAGCCCACTGTAAACCCCTCAGCCATTGGCCCCAGTGAACAAGGACATTCTCCTGCATGCCCAGCAAGCACATTTAAGATTTATCAAGTGGGTACCACAGCCTCACCTGGTATCCTGCCCAAACTCAGATCTCCCAGTGCGTCCCACCATGCCAGGCAGGGCATGCCTATTGGGAACAGTGCCCGCTCACAGCTGCTGTGTCTCTTGAGTCTTGACCTAGAACAGTCCCCACTTTCTGGCCTTTCCCGACCCTGGTACACTGAAGGGTCTGGGCCCCTCCCTTTGTCTTGCTCTGAGCATCTCCTTGTAACTAGATTCCTTTTAGATGCACAGGTGCTCTGGCCTCCCCATGTGACCACAGACAAGAGGCCTCAGCCTCGCCTCTCCAGCCCCAAGTTGTCCGCCTGTCATGTGGGTTGGGAGGGCGCACACCCACAGGGCCACTCTGAAGATTAAATGAGACACTATGAGATGATTGTAAGCTGTCACCTAACACGTCATAGCCGGGCAGGAGGGCAGGCAGGGCGGGCATTCCCTGGGTGACCCGCCCTTCCTGAAACAGGCAAGAAGTCCAGGAGCCTCCGAAGGAAGGGACAGGTGGCCTGGCACCCCGCCCCATGCTCCTGCAGGCTGACGACTTATTTAAACAAACCCCCGGCTCCTGCTTTGAGTGCTGTTGAGGGGGCTCTGGGGCCCCACCCCCTGGAATCCCTGCTTCCTTGTCCATCCTCCTCTCTGTGCTTGCCCTAAATTACTCCTGGTCCTGGCAGCATGTTGGGGCCCTGTCCTCCCTCTCCCACATCCCAGCATCCCAGCCCGAGTGCTCCCCACAGGAGGCAGGCCTCATCCTCTTGTCAGCTTCCTGTTACCCTTGGGGTGTACCTGGGTCCCCCGACCCAAGGGGCCTCTGCACTTGGACTTCAGCACGTCTTCCTGCCTGGCGTCCCCTCCAGCTCATCTGCTCCTGCTCGTGACACCTGGTTGGTCCCTCTTGGTCCAGCAGCACTCGAGTGCACATGTACACACATATGCACACACACACACGCACACACACACGCACACACTCACATCCCCGTGAGGCCCCACCTGGGGTTGGGGCTCCCAAAGCTGCTTCACAGCACTCCACCTTGGTGGGGCCCTCATTCTGAACCCCCACTGATCCACCTGCTGGGACACTATTGTGTCCTTTGGTGAAGGTTTGTGGGGGAAGGAGCTCGCTGGGATGGGCAGTTGTCCGCCTGCCCTGCACACAGTGGTAGCCCTTTCTGGGCTACTGGGAACACGTGTCTGAGCTCCAGTGGTCAGAGCGTGCTCTTTGTTAACATACTTTTTGTAACTGAGGTCTCCAGACATCCGATTCTTAAGACATAGACTGAGTCTCTGCTGTGTTCCTGGTCCTTCGACACACCTCACCTTGTGTCACAGCAGCTGCATGAGCTGGGCGGCGTTCCCCCTTGAAAAGGGCCTGATGACCCTCAGTTTCGATGGAAACGGATGACCATTCAAGCCTCCTGGGCTATTGAGTGACAAGTCACACTTTGCCCCAGGCCTGGTGCCATGCGGGTATCAGGACAGGCCAGGGAAGACCTCAGCTGTCTGCAGTCCTCACCAGTTGGTTGAAATGGCTTCTCTTCAAAGGGAGGTTGCTTGCATGGTGCTCCCATCTGGTGACTTGTACCCCGAAGTTGTGGTGGTCCCACCCTCCGGGCCTTCTGTCTGTCACTCTGTCCCTCCAGGCTGCCGGATGCAGGACCCGTGGGCCCTTCCCTCCCCTTTGGTCTCAGCTCACAGGTCCACGAACGTCCCTGACAGGCTGGCTCTCGTGTCACATGCTCATGCATAGCCCCAGCGGTCACTTACGCTGACTGTGCTTGTGTGGTCCATGCTGTTGGAGGGCAGGGTTGCATCTGGCTTGTTTAGGGACGGGGTCTGCATTTGCCCTCCCTGGTGCCAAGCACTATTTCCTGAAGATCTGTTTCCATCTGGCACATGTCCCTTCAGCCTGCTGGGCTTCCTTCAGGCTTTCTCACCATGCCTCTGTGCCGGCTGTGAATTCTTTCTATTGTCATTTATCTGAAAAGTCTTTATTTCATCTTTGTTCTTAAAAGGTATTTTTGCAGGATGTGGGATTTTGATGACAGTTTTTTCTTCATGGCTGAGAGGTCACTGGCCATTTATGTCCTTGTTCCTCTGTAGGGGATGCGTTGTTTTTCTCCCGCTGCTTTTAAACTTTTGTTCTTGTCTTTGGTTTTCAGCCTGGCTGCGTGTTTGTGGCCCGTTGTGTCTTATTCCCCAAATATTCAGCAGGGTTCAAAGAATCTCACAGTGGCCTGCACATATGTACCACCTCCATCCTCCTTTTACCTGGTTACTACACTTCCTATTTCGCGTGTCCTGAGGGCAGCAGTGAGTGGGGGGTGGGGCAGAGGAAAGGAGCGTCTGCTCTAGTAAACACACAGGGTGTCAGTCCGTAGTTCAGAGCTGACGGAGGCAGGCCCACAGGTAACCCAGGAGCCATGCAGGGCAAGAGTGCGTGGGGCAAGGTGGGCCCGGAGAAAGAGGAGTCTCTGACTGGGGCGAGTGGCAGTCCAGAGCGGCAGGGGGGCTGGGGCGGGGGTTTGGAGGCGTGATGAGCTGTGCAGAGGTGGGAGTGGTCCCCTCCCCGAGGATGTCCAGGTGGGCAAAGACAGTGCTCTCAGCACAGGTGACGTGTACGGGCCTTGGGGGAGGGCCTGCAGCTAACATGGGGTCTTAACTGTGGAAGACCTTGACTACCCCATTGAGTGGTTTGGAGTCTGCGTTGGAGATTATTATGTGGGGTCTTGCTGGGCTTCGCTCCTGACTACTTGACGTTCACGTGTGTTTGTTTTTCCATCAAAGGCATGGACGACAAGAACGCCACGAAGCTGAATGAGCTCATTCAGGCTGGGTGAGTAGAGCTGTGTGTGAGGCAGGCCGGCTCCTTGTGGGAATTTGCACTTTTCTCTCAAATATAGACCTCGAAATATGTGCAGTTTTCTCCCCTTTTCTCAGTGAGGACCATTAAATCCTGAAGTCCTCAGAGTTAGCCCTGACAGCCTCACAGTTAAGCATCTGCCCGTGAGGAGGTGGCCAGCCCAGGGGACTGATTGACCTGCCCCCAGCTTCTCCCCGTCCTGGGGGCCCCATCCTTGTTCTTCTGCGGGTCTCCACTCAGCCCTCACCTTCTCACTGTCTCACTCTTTTCCTCAACCTTGTGCATTTCATGGTGTGGGGGTCTCCTTTGCTTCTAGAAGGCCTGCCCTCCCGGTCTTCCTGGTGCATGTTTCTGGTCCTCCCACGCTTCCTCTGCCCTCCGTTCCTTCTTGTGCCTCTCGAGGTCAAGCTGAGTCTGACTCTGTTCTGCTCTCACACTCCTGGCCTCCCGATCACACAAAACCACTGGGGACCCCCACGCAGCTCTGACCTGACTGCTGTGACCGTTTCTGCTCCAGAGAGGCCATACCAGGACTTGCTGCATGGAAAAGCCACGGTGCCCTGTCCTTGAGTTGCCCAGTGGCCCTTTGGCTTGCCTGCTGCCCCCTGCTCTCTGACAGCCTTGCTAGTAGGTCCCTGGGCACCGGCCAGGTATCTGACCCTGAGCTGCTCTCCAGCTTCCGGAACCGCCTTCCTGGGGCTGTCTCAGCACTGCCCCCAGGCTCTCCTGTCCCTGCACCCTCTCCTTTGGCTACTTTAACTCTTCCCAGGGCCTCTGTTACCTTTTCTGGGTGAAGGATCCCAGATCTGACTTGTCCCCCATTTCTCTGCCTCGACGTACAAGTCCCATTACGGCCTGGATGTTTCCTGTGTTCCAGCTGGAAGCCTCCAGCATCTCTTCCTGGGAAGGATGCCCCCGACCTTGCACTCTGAGGGTCTCTCAGTCAGTGCCTCTCACTCCTCTCTGCAAGTAGTTGGAAGCACGGCAGGTGGGCCTGTCCGTCTTTCGCAGCCCTTTGCCTCTCTCATGGCTGCTGTGGCCTTGTCCCTCAGCACTGCGGCTGTGCTGGACTCCAAGGCACAGCCCGACCATCCCCCGTTACATGGTCTGGATTTCTCACCTGTTGTGGGGTCCTCATTGGCAGCCACCCTGTTCCTCCCACTCACCCCATCAGAGCCTCTGCGCTCCCACGTGGACCTCTCCACTCATCTTAGATGGACCCGCCCGCCATCCACAGGACCCTGCTGCTCGATGGCCAGCTGTCCTGTAGGTCGAGCCATCCCTGGGAATAGTTTCCCTGGCCTCTGCTACATCAGCAGGACGTTGTCTTGCACCCTAGTTGTTTTCCTCCCTCGGCCTGGTGTCAGACGGCCAGTGAGCCCCCATCCCTCAGGTTGAGTCCCTGCCAGGTTGACTGTGTGCATTTCTGCTTTGGCTCCAGCCCAGCGTCTGACCTTACAGAGGCTCATGTTGGATCCTCCAGGCTCTGTGTCTATGAACTACCATCAGTTTGGAGCCAGGCCTGAGAGTGACTAGGTTGTACATATCACTATCATGTGAAAGAGAAGTGATTCTCCCCAGCGGCCGGGGAGTGAAGGTGGCCTGGCCAGCTGGTACCACTGGGCACATGGAGCCTCCTAGAGGTGTGGGGGGTGGTCAGAGGCAAGTAGGGAGAGAGGCCACCAGCCTTAGCCCTGGAGGTTGTCTGTTGCACCTCCCTATTCACCTGCTGCAGCTTTAGCATCTGGCCTTCTTTCCCACCCTCACACCTGCCCTGTGCCCATCAGGTGGAAGCTATGTTTGCTCCAGGTTCTGAGATGTTTGAGCAGTGTTGTGCGTACACGCATTTCCCAGAATGTCATCTCAGTGAGATTGTACTGTGTGTGGCCTTCCAAGGTTGGCATCTTACACTCAGCAGTACACCCTGAGATTTGTCCATGTGGCTGCGTGGGTCTGTGGTCCATGCCTCTGTGGAGTACTGTCCCCAGTATGGCTGTTCTGTGGTCTTTTGATCCAACCCCCAGTGAGGGACACGGGCTGTTTACAGAGAGTAAATGACTCAGCATTGGCCTCCAGCTTTTTGTCTCATCTTGCCTGCGCAAATCCCCAGGGGAGGAGGTGGTGAGCACATGCAGACTTTAAAAGGAGCTGCCAGCCTGCTTTCCAGGTGGGGCTCCGGGTGCTCCCAACACTTGGTGTGTTTAGTCTGTTCTTCACCCAGTGGTGAAGGGGTGTCTCATTGTGGTTTTGACTTCGTTTCCCTGAGGACTAGTGATGTTGAACACCATTGTTATGCTCACTGGCCATCTGTGTATCTTCTTCGGTGAGGTGCCTCTTCAAATCTTGTGCCCATTGCGTTTAGAGTGTCCTTTATATATTCCAGAGACAAGCCTTTTGTCAGGTAGGCGATTTGCCAATCTTAACTCCCAGTCTGTGGCCTGCCTTCTCACTCCCTTTAGCAGTGTCCTTCACAGGGTAGACGTTTTCAGCTGTGATGAAGTCCAGTTTGTCATCTTTTTCATTTATGGATTGTGCTTTTAGTGTCACATCTAAGAAGTCATTGCTTAACTCAAGGTCATGAAGTTTTTTTTGTTTTTTGTTTTTTTTTTGTGGTACGCGGGCCTCTCACTGCTGTGGCCTCTCCCATTGCGGAGCACAGGCTCCACACGCGCTGGCCCAGTGGCCATGGCTCACGGGCCCAGCCGCTCTGCAGCATGTGGGATCTTCCCGGACCGGGGCACGAACCTGTGTCCCCTGCATCGGCAGGCGGACTCTCAACCACTGCGCCACCAGGGAAGCCTGGTCACGAAGTTTTTTCCTATGTTTTCTTCTAAAAGTTTTATGGTCTGACGTATAAATCCACGATCTACTCTGAATTAACTTTTGTACACGATGTGATGTTTATGCCAAGGTTCAGTTTGTGGCCTGTGGGTGTCCAGTTGTTTCGCCCCCCCTCTGCTGGAGGGTCCATCCTTCCTCCATTAGCTGCTTTTTCACCTTCATCTCAGGTCTGTTGACTGTGCTATGTGGGTCTATTTCCAGACTTGAAATCCTGTTCCGTTGATTTACTGTGTGTTCTTTCGCCAACACATCATCAGTTTTTAAGAACAAAGCAAAAGGCCTGTAAACGTGAGACAGAGATGGGGGAAATTAGTAAGGTGCCTGTGGAAAAGTACTCCTTGACTTAAGACCAAAAAGCATTGAGTATTTAACTTCCTGTTCCTGCCTCTCATGCAGACCTTTTCCAGTTAACTGTCAATCTCCCTTTGTTATAAAATGGTAGAATTGGATTAAGGAGTAAATGAATTGAGAAAAGCTCTAAAGTTGAATCTTATTACATTGGTCACAGACCCAGCAGCATAGAACTTAGCACATGCTTATTGGATTTATCAAGTAACTTTGCAGAGAAGAAAATGAACCTCATATCAGAAAGGAAAGTCTGACTCCCATGCACATAGAGGGATTTACTCTGTTGCCTGTTTTGTGACGCTAGTGGAGGATTCAAATAGGACCCTCCGCATTGTTCCATCTGACAGAGGGCAGGACCTGATTCTCCTGCAGGTGCACCTCTGCAGCCTGGGCTGGGGCCAGGCTTCACTTGTGCCGGCTGCAGCCTCAGGCTGCTCATAGAACTTTGATTTGTGAGAAAGGGAAGGGGCTCGTAACCTCGGAATGGTTCTCTACATAAAGCAGGGGCTGTTCAATTTCACTAAAAAAAAAAAAAAAGGAAGTCACAAAACAGTTTAACGGAAAATGTGGTTATCACAAACACAAGTGCCACGTGACACGGCTCCCCCTGCTCTTTAAATCTTTCCTGCTGCTGTTGTGTTTTGTTTGGGATGGATGGCAGAAACGTCCACTTGTTCCCAGCACCCTTCATTGGAGGCGATTAAGAACTGACTCGATGTTCTTGGTTCCCGCTTCTGCACCCCAACTCCAGCCTCATCAGCACATCCCTGGGAGCGCTCTGCTGCCTGTATTTCCCCTGGGTTGAGGTGGTTAAGACTCAAGCCCTTGGTCTTAGTGGAGGCCTTGGTCCCTGCAGACTCCCATCCTCTCTGAATCTCCCCTCCTAACACAATGGCAGGGGAGCTGGCTTCCTGGAGTTTTCTTGTCCAGATAACTGGAAAAATATAAGTAAAATGAAAAAGCAGGGGAACTACTCCCAATTAAAAGAACAAGAGGATAGAGAAGGGGCATCTGACAGCGACAGAGGTTCTGATAAGACTGAGGACCAGAGGACCAAAGTCATGTACTGATTGGTAGAGCTGGACAAGAACCTACATCTGTAACTGAAGAGACCAGGGATCTTTCTGTTATACTCTTGGGAAACAGACGCTAAGATCTTTGCAAATTATCTTGTGGGAAAAATCCCTAAAGTCAGAAGAAGCTGGAAAGCTCCCCTAGAAGACTGGGAGTTGATGGAGCCAACATTGGATGAATTAGATCAAAAGATGAGAGAAGCTGAAACAGAACCTCATGAGGAAAAGAGGAAAGTGGAATCTCTGTGGCCCATCTTCAAGATCCACTACCAGAAAACCCACTATATTTTTGATCTCTTCTACAAGCAGAAAGCCATAAGCAGAACTATATGAGTATTGTATTAAAAAAGGCTATGCAGGTAAAACCCAATCGCAGAACGGAAAAAGCAGGTGTATGAGAAATCATGCTGCCCGAGGTGCATTCAGACATGGAACACCGATTTGGGGACAAACTGCGTTTGCCAGGACCCCAAAATAAGCTGTCAGTGGACCAGATCATCAAGTGCACGCTCTGTGGCTACTGGGGCTGCTCTGGCCGAGGCCCTTGGGCCCCCTGACCCCACTCCACCCTGGACTTTGGAATGCGCAGGTTTCTGCATGTCAAGCCACCCCTTTCCTGGGAACAGCTGTTCCTGTAGAGTGGTGCCCACGTATGAAGGTTTCATGTTCATCAGCTGTGATTTGTAGAAATAAGACTTTTAAATCTTTAAG